CTGATTTTACCACCAACCATACAGTGAGCCCTAAAGCATAATAGTTAGGGCCCTACTAAATTCACAGTCCATTTTGGTCAATGTCACAGTCATAGGATTTTAAAAATCATAAATTTCATTATTTCAGCCATTTAAATCTGAAATTTCATGGTGTTGTAATTGTAGGGGTCCTGACCCAAAAAGGAGTTGGGGGGGGGGGGAATCCCAAGTTTATTGTATAGGAGGTTGTGGTAGTGCTACCCTTACTTCTGCGCTGCTGCTGGTGGAGAGCTGCTTTCAGAGCTAGGTACCCAGCCAACAGCTGCCGCCCTCCAGCTAACCAGTTCTGAAGTCAGCGCAGAAGGGTGGCAATACCGTGCCCCTCCCACCAAAAATAACCTTGTGACCCTCCTGCAACTCCTTTCTGGGTCAGGACCCTCAATTTGAGAAACGCTGGTCTCCCCAGTGAAATTTATAAGTATAGGGTAAAAGCCCACAAAAGACCAGATTTCACCAGGGGGGAGGCATGACCAGATTTCATGGTCTGTGACAAATTTTTCATGGCCATGAATTTGGTAGGGCCCTAATAATAGTGAGGAATATAGGAATGCATTTAAATGTCAAAGTATTGTGATCACCAGGAGCAGTAATAGGTAACTGTAGAATACGAGATCTTGGATTAGGAGAGGGCAGAACAGCTGCTGAACAAAAGGATGAGTTTGTTGATTGGAGGCTGGGGAGGCTATCCACTGAAGAAACTACCAATGGGAGGAGGGAGAAAGAAGCAAAGCATTCTGCCATCCCAATCCACACTAAAAAAAAAAGGCAACAACAGGTATAGAAGAAGCTAGGATTCCACAAAGATCTGAATAAGCAGCTGAACTTTTATTTGTTTATCAAGTCTGAACCTCCAAACTGTTTTGAGTTTTGCCCATCACTACCGAGGAAAGAAATGTTCAAAGCTATCTATACAAACCACACTGAAAGGATAATTCAGAGAACGTGCACAATAATTTCCAAAGACAGACAAGTCTTTAGGCTTCAAAGAAAACATTAATACAAGAGTCCAGAACACCAGCATAACTTATCTTAGCCCATGACCAACAAGAACAAAAACTGCATTAACTAAATTATGAGAAAAAAATAAGATTAAACTACAAGTTCCTATTGCACTTAACTGTATTTGTAATATGCCATAATTTGTAATTATGGAAACTATAGGTGGAGGTCACAGTAAGTATAATAAATTCCACCATATAGATGGATTAAATGTCCAAATATATTACTTCAACACTTGTTACAGTTGAGTGATTTTCAGAAGCCTGAAGAAAGAACAGGAGTACTTGTGGCACCTTAGAGACTAACAAATTTATTAGAGCATAAGCTTTCGTGGACTACAGCCCACTTCTTCGAAAGCCTGAAGGTTATGGTCCCTTATAATTAAGGCTACATTTTAGTCACAGATAATTTTAGTAAAAGTCATGGACAGGTCACGGGCAGTAAACAAAAATTCCCGGCCCGTGACCTGTCCATGACTTTTACTATATACCCTTGACTAAAACTTGGGTGCTCTGGGGTAGGGGGCAGCCCAGGGGCACTGTGCAGGTGTTCTGGGGCAGGAGCACGTGGCCCGGAACCAGAGGTGAAAGTAAGCCAGTACGGGCCGGTATGGAGGACCAGTAAGAAATGTGCAGTCTGACTCCTCCTCCAGCCAGGCTGAAGATGCTAGGCTCCGTGCTTTCCCCCTGCCTGGCACTCAGCAGTGGCTGAGGTGGCTCCCCTCTAGCTTGCAGCAGGGAGCAGGGAGACTGGCTGAGAGGGAGAAGCAAGCCTAACCCCTGCATAAGAATAGTTTAAAATCAGCTGTTCCCTGCGCAGTTCAGCCCCTGGGGTTAGGAGACATTTCTGGCATCCTTGTTAATTTCACTCACAGTTGCTGGGGGTCAGGGGGAGGGTGTGTTTGACCATGGCAGGGGCAGTTCTTTTCTGCCCCTGGGATGAGGGGATCTTTCCAATACTAATATACACAACAAATACAAGCATTTGGCTGCACAGCTTAAATCCTCCCCACCCCCCACTCAGCAGGGGCTCTCCCATCTAGCTGCCTGCATAAGAACATAGGGCGCAATCTCAGATCTCTTATTGTTTTGTCCTGCCTGCAGAGTGCAGAGGCTGAAATTGACAAAACTTTCTCTAAGTATCTTGTATATTTCATGAAGGCTATTCCAGTTGTCCTTCATTCACCCCTGCACTGCCTTCCCCTACTACTAGCCACCCACTGGTGTGCCCCCTGCACTCTTTTATGTGCCTGGAAGGGAGATTAAAAAATCCTTGATATCTGACTTGCTAGGAAATAGGGAGGATCTAGGGAAAGTGGGGCACTGGTGAGCATGGTGCAATGCAGTCCCTTGCCCCCCTGGCTCCCTCTATGTGGGGGTATGGCACTCAAAAGCTAACTTTGGAACATCCACATGAATGTCTTCCTGGGAAAACAAAATCTTCTAGTCTTTCTTCACAGATCTAAATCTACTCTGATCCAGGTATGTTCTAAATGTATAGGTACAGTATGGATGGATATCTCAAAAAAGATAGCATTTCAGTGTAGGAGTTGGACCAACAGCCCCCTGGGGAAGGACATACTCCATTAAGCAGCACACATTAAGCAGAAGTCCCTGAGGTGTTAGCCCAGAAACACTTGTCTCCTGCCCCCCCCCCTAAAAGGGCACTGGCACCTTCCCCACAGGACAGTAATACATACAGTATGTGTGTGTCACAAACAATGCAGCTGCAGCCTGCCGCCGACTGCCCTGACCCCAGCAACCGGCCCCTACTATTGTATTATAGTAGTATTGGAGCTCCCCTCATCCAGGAGGCAGAAAAGAACTGCCCCTGCCATGGTCACACACCCGCTCCGCTTCCCCTCACCCGCCCCAACAACTGTGAGTGAAATTAACAAGGGTGCCAGAAACAGCTCCTAACCCCGGGGGCTGAACTGCGCAGGGAACAGCTGAGATTAAACTGTTCTTATACAGGGGGTAGGCTTGCTTCTCCCTCTCAGCCAGTCTCCCTGCTCCCTGCTGCAAGCTAGAGGGGAGCCCCTGCAGCCGCTGCTGAGTGCCAGGCAGGGGGAAAGCACGGCCTAGCATCGGCAGCCTGGCTGGAGGAGGAGGGAAGACATGGAGAAAAATGTGACAGTGAGTTTTCACTTTTTCAGGCTTATTCCAATAATAAAGTTTTATTACAGACAGTATTTTTAGTAGTAGTAGCAGCTTTATTTTCTATATCTATGTCATGCAATGGGAGGGATCCATGAAGTAGGTAGGAGAGGTGGGTTGCTTGCGATTGGACCATATGGGTAAGAAATGTAAATTACTTTCACCCCTGCCCAAACCCCAGGGCTCCCAGCTGCCTCTGCAGCTGGTAGCTCCGGGGGCAATTTAAAGGGCCCAGGGCTCCCAGCTTCAGCCGGATCCCCATGCCCTTTAAATCCTGATTTAAAAGCCCTGGGATTTAAAGGCCCCACCTCTTCCGGTAGAGGCCACACCTCTTCCAGGTGAGGCCCCGCCCCCTCCACAGGACTCTGGAATACCAGTAAGTCTTTTAAGTTACTTTCACCCCTGCCCGGGACTCCTGCTGCTGCTGGGGGAGGGGGTAGGCTGGCGGGCTCCCTGGCAGGCTCCGCACGGCTCCCAGAAGCAGTCAGCATGTCCCTGCAGCCCCTAGGTGGAGGCATGGCCAGGGGGGCTCCGCACGCTGCCCCCACCCCAAGCACCCGCTCCGCAGCTCCCATTGGCCAGGAACCACGGCCAATGGGAACTGTGGGGGCAGTGCCTGTAGGTGAAGGCAGAACGCAGAGCTGTCTGGCCACGCCTCCACCTAGGAGCTTGTTGCAGCTTCTGGGGAGACCCCCCCCAAGGTAAGCACCAACTCCCTCCCTTAGCCCTGAACCCCCTCCCACACCCAAACTCCTGCTGCTGACGGGGAGGGAGGACAAGGGGGTGCAGTGGCCCGAGACTGCCCCAGCACCCGAACTGCTCAGGCAGCCCCTGGGCTAGTTGCACCAGCCACTGCAGAAGTCACGGAGGTCCCGGAAAGTCATGGAATCTGTGACTTCCATGACATACTCGCAGCCTTACTTATAATACCTTAAAACTGTTATCTCTCGGATGAGGAAGGGAAGACAAACACATCACTGGAGGTCAAGCAAAGGAGACATCATGAAGCTGAACTATTTAAACACAAAGTGTGGATAAATAAATATGGGGGAATGAAGGGGAGAGAAGAAGAGGAGCAGAAAGGAAACAGAGCCCAACACAAAAGCAAAGTGTTCACTAAAAAAAGGAAGTATTTTGACCACAAAAATAAAAAATGGCAAATAATACTCCACCCAATACAAGCAGCATAAGCTTTGTTTTTAAAATTCCTGTCGAGGCTTACTATCTCATGCCCACTGCCATAAATTTTGAAAATTAAAAGCAGAATAAAATAGGGTTAATAATGGAACAATACCATTACAAAAGCAACATTACAATTATATAATGTTTAACAATATCAACTGTTACCAAATAAAACGTGCCTTGGAAAGTTCTTACCATAGAATTGTATGGACTGAGAACTCCTGAAAGTAATGGAAGAGATTTTGGGCTAAAACTGCTATAAAAATGAAACTAAACTTAAAAAAAAATTTCAGAGAGTTTATACTGCTATTTACAATCACTTTAAGAAAATAAATTCCAGCATGTACTAAGCTAGTATTAACATCATCTTGGATTTTTATACCAATTTTTAGATATTCAAATATTAAACACTCTTCAACATGAATAAGTACAACATGCTACATAAAAGAGTGAATTAACAAGCATTTTTATTTTATAATGAGACTTCAGTTAAGTATATTAAAAATAGCTTAGAGTCTGGTTTGTTTTCTTAAACCCAAAAATGAGAGGTTATGTCAATTGCTTACACATAACAAGGATGATATTTTGACATTTTTCAATAGGTCAGTTGGAACAGTGCATTACCTGTTTCTGTTCTGCTGGAGAAACCTGCTGCCTGTTTGATTGCTGCTGCTGTTAATGCTAATCCTCGGCTCCTCTTCAAACCGTGCTGTAGTACAGCTTCAAACTGAGCACACAGGCAAGTCACTCTGCAACAGAATACGTGATTAATTAATTAAAGACAATGTGAAAAGAATAAAAATCAATCAATTATGTTTAGATTCAGTGGATTTATACATCTGGAATAAATGCAGAATGCGCAGGTACATGCAGTTCCCTACATGGAAAGTCCTTTACTTATGCCAGCGGTACTCAAACTGTGGGTCGGGACCTCATAGTGGGTCGCAACCCTATTTTAATGGGGTCGCCAGAGCTAGTGTTAGATTTGCTGGGGCCCGGAGCTGAAGCCAACACCTGAGCCCCACCGCCCAGAGGTGAAGCAGACACCAGAAGGCTTCAGCCCTGGACAGCGGGGCTCAGGTTACAGGTCCCTTCACCCAGGGCAGTGGAGCTCCGGCGGGCTCAAGCTTTGATCCCCCCTCCTGGGGTCATGCAGTAATTTTTGTTGTCAGAAGGGGGTCGCAGTGCAATGAAGTTTGAGAACCGCTGATTTAGGGTAATCTCTTTAATATGTGAAAGCTCTATAAACCTATTCATATCCACTAGGTTACAGTAACTATACAGAGCCACAGGAAACTGCTTGTTAAAAAACGTTAACAGCCAATTTAGAAATTGATCTTTACATGTTGGAGTGTTTTTTATATCCCATTCATTTCAGCTCCTCTGTACATAACACAATTACATTTTAAACAGATAAACTTCAAAATTTACAACTACTTCATGATTTTTTGGAATATGCGGACAATGTACATGTACAAGTTCTAGGCAATTTTACCTGATTGTTAGTGATACTTTTGCTGTTTTTCAGATGTATTGTAATACATCAAATGCAAAGCTTATTTCCATTTGTGCAACTGGAACAGCGTCAAACCCACGACACATGAAAAAGCTCAATTTTTATGAGAAAAAGCAAACTACACAAAACTTGTCAGACTAACATGCATACACCTTCACTTACGTCTACATCTTGATAGCAGCTGAAATTTTAGATTTCAAGTTTTCTGTAATTATCTTTAAAACTTAAATTATTCAACACAATCTGCACTGCAAACCTGATTAAGAAAATAACATAAAAATGTATATTGACACTCCTCAACTATTTTAGGCATTATAAAATGAAGCAAAATCTGCCTAGAAAGTAATTTAGACATTTTTAAAAATTGATGTCAACCTTACTACTTGACATTTTAGTAAATTTAACTTATTTTTTAAAATTAAGCCAAAGTCCACTGTATTCCATTTCTAAATACACCTCTACCCCGAAATAACGCGACCCAATATAACACAAATTTGGATATAACACAGTAAAGCAGTGCTCCGGGCGGGCGGGGCTGCGCACTCCAGTGGATCAAAGCAAGTTCGATATAACGCGGTTTCACCTATAACGCGGTAAGATTTTTTTGGCTCCCAAGGACAGCATTATATTGCGGTAGAGGTGTATGTCATAACAAATACAGCAAAAGCTTTGTTATCTGGCACGTTGGGAGAATGGAAGGTGCCAGTAAGTCAAAAATTCCAGGTAACTAAGAGGGAGGGAGTTTGGGCGTGTGAGGGAGCTTAGGACTGGGGGTTGGGGTGCAGGAGGGGGTGCGGGCTCTAGGAGGGAGTTTGGGTATGGGAGGGGGCTCGGGGCAGGGTGGTGGAGTGTGTGAGGGGTTTTGGCGTGCCAGATCCGGGCAGCGCTCATATCGGGCATCTCCCTGCAAGCGGCAACATGTCTGGAGAAACACGGCCAGGAGGCTCTGCACGCTGCCTCCGCCCGCAGGCACCATCCCCGCAGCTTCCTTTGGCCGCAGTCCCCAGCCAATGGGAGCTGCAGAGCCAGTGTTGGGTGGGGTGGGGACAGTGCATGAAGCCCCAGTGGCAGTTCTTCCACCTAGGAGCACTGACCACGGCCAATGGGAGCTGGTCGGGGGGAGCGCCTCTCCGGACATGTTGCCACTTGCGGGGAGCCATCGGAAATGCCAGTTTATAGAGCTTTCCAGTTTGGAAAATGCCAGATAATTCAACTTTTCCTGTATAGTTCTCTCACACTTTGTTTTGCCAAACTATGCATACTGAAGAATGCACTGCAGGCAGCTAGACAAGGAACAATAATCTCTCCGCAAACATTTGAGAGCTGTTAAGGGACAATATCAGGAGTATTAGCTTTGATGATTTTGCTTCCTCTCCATCTAATCTATAAATTGGGTTGGACCAAGATAGGAAAAAGCCCACAAACACAGGAGATCAAAAGAACTCTGGCAAGTTTAAAAAGGAACACTCTTTCAAAAAGGGGCGGTAATTATTTGGGGGAACCAGACAAACACAGGAGACCACAGATAGGGATTTCTGAAGAAGTTAAATCTGCCTAGTTATCATCGGAAGACAGTAAGTTTTTACATGAGATAGACATGCGTGTAGACAGTCTTAAAATCTGTGTTTTCTTCTCAAGCTTTGTTCCTACTGTTACATAAATAATACTTTGGTTTTAAGGAGGCAGTCTGATCACCATATATCATTGGTGACAGTAGGGTTAGTTTACGTCTGGGTTTTCCCAGACATTGCCTCTTTTTTGAGCCTCCGTCCTCTGTTTGGGCAAGCCCTGTAACCATGACAGGTTTTTACATATAGAATAACTTTGGTGAGAAATACTAAGGAAACTTCTTTTGCAATACTAATAAAGTAACACATTATGGAAAAGATAAACAAGATGGAATTTTATGAACAAATGTGAATAATTCAGTGTTTTGTTAAAGATAACTGCTATTAATAGGAATTTCAAAGTTTGAACAAAAGAATCCACTTGATTCTTGCAGTTCTAAAAAGCAACAGCTAACACAGAGATTCTAGTTCCTCAGATAAGGAAGATATGTCAATCAAATGATTAAAAGCAGATGCATGAAGAAAGAAAACTGAATAATACTGAATATTACTATGAGAAACTGAATTATGTCTCCCAAAATGAAATGGAAACATTTTTCATGCTGGAGTAATAAATTCTATACAGTAATCTATAGAAAAAACAAAACTATATGAAAAAGAATAGACACTGGAAACTAAAAGTGTTTCAATCATGTGTATTTTGTGTGTAGGTAACATATACTATGACAATGATGTGTGCAATATAAGAGTCTATATAGAACAAACCAACAACAAAATGGCCCTTTGTTTACTGGACACTGGAGAACTGTGAACAATTAAAAAATCCAGCTATAAAAAAGGCTGAAAGAACATCACTGAAGTTAGTAAATCTCGTAAAATTTGCAACCCACATAAGGCCTCGGCTACACTATAGAGTTAGGTTGACGTAAGGCAGCTTATGTCGACCTAACTCTGTCAGTGTCTACATTACAATGGTGCTCCCACGGATGTAAGTGACCCACTTCATCAACTTAATAACTCACCACCACGAAAGATGTAGCGCTTAGTTTGATGTAGTTAGACTCACTCAGTGTCCGTGTAGACCCTGCATTACTTACATTGCCTGTTGGCTGTCAGCCAGGCACCAAGCTCACAATTGGAGCCCTCCCACCCCCCAATCCTAGGGCTGACAGCCAGAGCCAGAGATAAAATTTGAAATAATAGCAGCCATGAAACTGACAAGAATGTATATTTCACTGCTGGTAGGCTCCCTACTGTGAAACTGAGCCCTGCACTGGGCTCACATCTCAGGCTGTCAGCCCTGTGGGCATGGGGGCTCCAGCTGTGAGCCCCACACTCCGACTGTCAATGCCCCACTTCAGTTGGTGCAAGCGTACCTGATGAGAACGTGCACCAGTGGCAGAAGGAGGGCAGTGTGGACACCAACAGCAAATGTAATTGCTCCAGTGGCTGTAGGTCAACCTAACTTCAGTCGCCCTAATTTTGTAGAGCAGACAAGCCTTAAGCGTGACTTATTCTCTCCTCCAAAAATATTCTCAACCACTGAGCATAGCTCCAAATCACACTGGAAAAATGTGTGATCAGAAATCTCTGCATGTAAAATTTTCACTTCCTGTTTAATTAAGACTTAAGCTGCCTAACTACAGCCCAAATAGCACGACTGAGCAAGATGAGCATTCTGCCTGATTCAAGAGACTATTTGTGAGTAAACCATGTCATTTTTTGGCTTAACATTAGGCTTTTTCAATTCCAAATGTCCATGCCTGTCAACATATCAATCCTAAAGGGGATACCCAAACCGCTCATTCTTGACAAAGTGTTTCAGAAATAGAGTAATGTTGCAAAAAGTAGTCGTTTGGGTCAGAAGCTTTTGCTTTGAATCTGGAGATAACTACTTCTATTTTAACATTACAGTTCACACTCAGGAAGACAGTCCCTGACTCCAGGAGCTTACACAGTAAGACAAGCAACATACAAAGGGTGAGGGAGAGGTATAATATACACAATAAAAATAAGAATTAACAATTCACAATTGCCATTTTAATTCACTTTCTATGGGGGAAAAAATCTAGGTATTCAGTGTAGTTTGTAAGAAACTGATCAATGGATGACAAACTACACTTGAAAAGGCAGCTGAGCGCATAAGGAAGAAGTAGCTGCCATTTCCACCCCTAGTCTAGGTACTTTTCTCCAAAGACAGCTGAACTAAGTTCAAGGTTAGTTTACAGAACTGAAACGGGAGTTGGTTTAAGAATTTAGGACAGGCAGCCGTGGAGTTTAATGTATGTTCTGGTAGACTATTAGAATCTTTCAACTGGTCTCGGCTGGCTTTCACTAAAAAGACAGCAGCCCTAGTAATTAGTTAGACTATCAACCTGTTATTTGATGCCATAACCTAATTGACCAACTGGAACCTAAATGACAACAAAAACTAAATGACAATTCTCAACTGGCATTTCTACCATTGAGAAGAGGCAGCTTGTAGCAGGAGGAGAGGAATAGGAAGAAAATGTTTTTGCAGCTAAAGAACATTGGGAGTAAGAAAAAAAAACTTGGGTTTTCATATGTTCATTTTTAATTGGTTAAAATATGAAACCCATAACAGAACAGGGCTAGATTTAAGACATCTATATAAATATAAGATATATAATCATTTTAAAAACAGAAATATTGGGGTAAAAAATAAAGTTCTTCTTTACTTATATCCAGACTTCAGAATTCAGCATGTTGCCTTAATCCTGCAAACACGTGAGCAGTCCTTTTGTCTGGAATATGATTCATGTGCACCAATATGAGGAAGGCAACCAAGAGTTTCTCAAGCATGTTTTTAAGTGGGTCAAATACTCTACTGGACCAAATATCTTTTTACTATATAGCCTAAGTAGTAATGATATATAAATTTAAACATGCTCCCTAGAGCTTTTTACCTGCTATCAGAATCTGAAGCAATTTCTTTTCTTCCTCCAAACCGGATTTGACACTGTAATAAATAAGTTTAAATAACACAAGTGTTAAGAAACTGAAAATTCTTAAATGCTCTAATTTTAATTTTAAAACCAAAAAAAAGAAGATGTTCACTGACTCAGCATGGAAGTTATATTTCAAGCAACATAAAAACCTGGAAGCAGGCAGGGCTGTAGAGCAGGGCAGTTACAAACCCATCCTGCTGTCAGAAAGAATACTTAATCACATTTTAGCATTATGCTCCCTGACAAAACCTCCACACAGCAAATAGATTCAAACAGCACAGCAGCAGAGTCTAGATGCACTACTAAATTACTGCTGCTTCTGAAGCATTATAACAGACGAGCCAATATCTATCATACATATCATTGATTTATATTGCCACATATAGTTGTCCTTGTACAGCTTCCTTTTAGTTATAAGGACACCAATTAAAACTTGGGGAAATTAAATAAAGTTCTGTTTTTCAGCAAAGAAACATTCTGAAAATAAAGACTTTAAAAGTTATTTTTAAAATAATTTTAATAAGTCAAGTAACTTCTCTGTTAACTTGTCTGGAGGGTCAAGAATCCAAAACCGGTTTCATCAAGATGATGATATTCTCCATTTCTAAATCCAATTACTAATTCAGGCTTAAATCTGCACACACTTATTGCTTCCAGGAGCAGTATGTACTTCAGTGAGTAGTCACAGAAGCCAGGACTATACCCTGTATTGTATCCAGGATTGCACCAAAACTCACAAACAATAATAATTTTGCACTTGGGACGGGGAAGAAAAGAAGTGCATCATACCTGCATTGTCTCTATTTAACATTATGGGATAGAGAGGCAAGCAACGTTTGAAAATAGACAAAAAAAAAAAATCAACATGTATCTGAATTCAAAGTAAATAAGTTACTAATGTAAACTGTTTACCACTATCTCCACTACCAGCACACAGTGCATTATCAAACCTTTCTATCTTTTAGCTGCTAACTGAAAATCTGTCATATTTGGCAACCCAGATATCAAAAGCATTGCATTTTCCTAGATTATTTTATTAATGTAACCAACTTTAGAATAAAAAAATTCTAAACTTCCGAAAACTTCCACACATTTTTTAAAGTTGTCAGAGATTGCTCAAAACATTTCTGAGTTAAGCTATTAATTATTTAACTTATTTGCATGTATTTTCTTGTAACAGGGTCTCAAGAGTTTTGACATTCAGTTACAGAATTAGGGCAGAACTATGCACAGACGTAGATCACAGAAGCAGGACCCCATACAGAACACCAAACTTCCCTTCACATTCTACCCACAACCCTCCAATATAAGTTGATCATAATGGTCCCTTCTAGCCTTAAAAATCTATCAAGTTCTGGGTTTATAACATTTGAATGAACAAAATGCCATGCCTATATGGGGCCAGGAGAGTGCATTTTTTAACTCTGTAGATAAAATGACATTAAAATCCTAATGTAGACAAGGTAAACTGTAGTTTTAACAGCATTTTAACTGGTCAAGGTAAATCCCAGGCTCCCTGCTAGGGTTTACCTCAACTATAACTTGCCTCGTCTGCTCTGGGATTTTAATACATTAGCTAACACACCTTTTTTTCCTAGAGACCTGAGAGAACTTCTTAAGAAGAGCAAGTTTCCCACTCTATCTATTGAAGAGGGGAGGGAAGAATAATAGCAACTCTTGACAGAAACATCAACTCAGCATTTATACACTGCCGAAAGATTTTTAGAATTGGGGCAAACTTGCGTTTATTGTTTTGATTTCTTACCTGTTTAACTGCATCCAGTAGCCGCTCTAGAAGAAACTGTCTTTTGTCATTGTTCTGTGAGCCTAAAATTCAACACAGCTTTATTATTTTAACAAAAATATATTAGTCCCAATTCTGGAAAACTTTCCTCACATGTACTAGTCATCCCACGGAGGTTAATGGAAGTACTTCTACGAGTAAGAGAATGCAGGATCAGACCTTTGTTTTGTTTTTTTTAAGATACCCTTTATTTAATATGCAGAAACAATGCATCTGATTTTAATACGTTATTCTTTTTGTGGAATCAACAAAAATTACCCTAGAGTTCTTAAAATATTAAGAACAGTATTAACATAGTCTTCTCTGTGTTAAATGCCAGTCAGGTAAAATTAATTACCGGTAGTAAGCAAGCCACTACACATAAACATTAATGCACAGGCCACATTTAACTTTTTAATCTAAATCATTTCAATATGCAGTGTCAACTTTCACACCTTGCTTGGATGAACACCTCTTATAAACATGTCTGGCTGCACACAAAGCTTGCTGTTTAATTAGGCTAAGTCACTGAGTTATATGCAGTGTTGTCGTACCGGTTCCAGAATATTAGAGAGACAAGGTGGGTCCGGTAACATCTTTTATTGGACCAACTTCTATTGAGAAGAGAAAGAAGCTTTTAAGCTTACACAGACCTGAAGAAGAGCTCTGCGTAAGCTCAAAAGCTCGTCTCTCTGACCAACAGAAGTTGGTCCAAAAGATATTACCTCACCACCTTATCACTCTAGGCCTTAAGTTAGACCATTTTGTGCCCACACTTTTCTTCTTCTTCTTCCTCCTCCTCCCATAGAACATTCAGCTTAATATAAAACTCTGACCTTTATATCAGAATTCTAACTGAATAAATTTCCCTCAAATTTCCCTAGCAAAACCTACTGCCCAAACAACATTGAAGAACTGGAGAAGGTATAAGGGGTGGAAAACATTTCTCTCTTCTTCTTGCAACCCATCACCCTGGAGGACCTCCTGCACAATCTCATATGTGTTCTATTCCTGCACAAAGCATCTCCAATTTACCCAAGCAGGAGAAGAGATTAGAACTGACCACAATTCATTCTGTGGAAGCTGCTCCTCTCCTGCAGAGTAATTTTTAAAACCCAGACAAGAGTTGGACTCAAGAAAACACAGGACGCCTGTACCAGATGTGAATCCATAATTAAAGAAAACAAGTATATTTTATTACCTAAATTACTATTATCTAATTACATAACAGTTTAGTGGTGCTTCACTTGGAAACCACTGCTATTTTCCATTATTAATTTACAGAGGGTTAACTTTAGATTTTGAACTTTGAATCAAGTTGTGCAATCATTATGAGGGTTTTTTTTGTTTTTTGTTTTTTTATAAGAACTCTGTACACATGAATGTGATACTAGTAGCTCTGGCTAGAGTCATCAGACAGTTATGCCAATGCACATCAGCCATGACCTGTATAATCGTTATTATTTCAGTCCTGAGAATTTTTATCAGAGATTCCAACTTTGCTGAATTAAGTCATATTGTACTATGGCTTTATTTATATTTTTAGGGAGTAAGTAATCTGTAGGTCTAAGTGTGCCACAACTAATCAAAATCACTTACAAAACTGTACAAGAAAAACATGCCAGTGAGAGTACACGCTTAATAAAATCCAGCCATAAACAAAACCACATGCATGCCCCATGTTGCCTCAGTCTCATTCCTTCAATACTCCCATTTCTTTCCAGGTAACTGGGAAAATACAACGAGATGCTTATCTTAGGGTATGTCTACACTACGAAATTAGGTCGAATTTATAGAAGCCAGTTTTATAGAAATTGGTTTTATACAGTCGATTGTGTGTGTCCCCACATAAAATGCTCTAAGTGCATTAAGTCGGCGGACCGCGTCCACAGTACTGAGGCTAGCGTCGACTTCCGGAGTGTTGTACTGTGGGTAGCTATCCCACAGTTCCCGCAGTCTCTGCCGCGCATTGGAATTCTGGGTTGAGATCCCAATGCCTGATGATGCAAAAACAGTGTCGCGAGGGGTTCTGTGTACATGCTCCATCAGAGCAATGGCAGACAATTGATTCGTGCCTTTTTACCTGGGTTACCTGTGCAGACAACATACCACGGCAAGCATGGAGCCCGCTCAGCTCCGTTCAGCTCACCGTCACCATATGTCATCTGGGTGCCAGCAGACATGGGGCTGCATTGCTATACAGCAGCAGCTCCTTGCCTTTTGGCAGTGGATGGTGTATTACGATTGGTATCCATCATCGTCATATTCCTCAGTGAGTTCAGTCAGAGGCACCTGGGCAGACATGTTTTGTCTCCTGGAGACTCAGTCCTGCCGGCAGTCCTATTGAACCATCTTGACGATGATGGCTAGCAATCGTAATACAGCATCTTCTGCCAAGCACCCAAAAGATGCCAATGGCTATCAGTCATGCTGCACCGTCTGCTGCCAGCCTAAGATGTAAAAGATAAATGGACCAGATTTGTTCTGTATTCATTTGCTTCCCCCTCCCTCCGTGAAATCAACGGCCTGCTAAACCCAGGGTTTTGAGTTCAATCTTTGGGGGGGCCATTCTATGTGACAGTTGTTTGTGTTTCTCCCTGATGCACAGCCACCTTTGTTGATTGTAATTCCCTGTAAGCCATGTCGTCACTTGCCCCTCCCTCCGTCAGACAATAGTTTTGCGCCTTTTTTCAGCCCAGACGCCATAGCACTGGGATCATGGAGCCCGCTCAGATCACCGCGGCAATTATGAGCACTATAAACACCACGCGCATTGTCCTGGAGAATATGCAGAGCCAGAACATGCCAAAGCAAAACCTGCCGCGTCCACAGGTTCGGCCGATCGCAGCTCCCACTGGCCGCAGTTCGCCGCTCCAGTCCAATGGGGGCTGCGGGAAGCAGCCCAGGCCGAGGGATGTGCTGGCTACCGCTTCCCGCAGCCCCCGTTGGCCTGGGACGGCAAACCGGGGCCAGTGGGAGCTGCAATCAGCTGAACCTGCAGACGCAGCAGGTAAACAAACCGGCCCAGTCCGCCAGGGTGCTTACCCTGGCGGGCCACATGACAAAGGTTGCCGATCCCTGTAATATATAAACACAAAATAGTATTACAAGTCTCAGTTAACTGTTATGATCCTTTAAAGCAGGGGTCTCAAACTCAATTTACCTTAGGGCCAGTGCCAGTCCTCAGGTCCTCCCAGCGGGCCAATGTCACTCATGTCGCCCAGAACCCTCCCCCCCAAAACTCCACCCCCCACCTGCCTAAGGCTCTGGAAGGGAGTGGGGGGGGGGGGGAAGTCTGGGGTGGGGGGGGGTGGCGGGGAATGGGAC